TGATTCTGATGGGCTTTCCTTTGTAGGTGATTTGTTTCTTTTCTCTAACTGCCTGTAGGATTTTGTTCTTCTGTTGGGTTTCTGAGATCTTGACTATTGTATGTCTATGTGTAGATTTTTTTTATCACGGCTAGTTGGAGTTCTATATGCCTCACTTATCTGTATGTCCAATTCTCTACCTCTGCCTGGGAAGTTTTCCCTTATTACTTCTGTGAAGAGTTTTTTTTTAATGTCAGTTGTACTTTCTCTTGTTTTTTCATGGACTCCTAGTCTTATGTTATTCTTCTTTGCATAATCCAGCAGCTGCTGGATTGATTTCTCGTGGTCCCTTAGTATTTTGAAGAGATCTCTGTTTTCATGGTCCTTAACTGCAATCCTGTCTTCTTTATCTGATATTCTATCTTCAGATTTCCTTAATCTGTTCTGCATGCTTTCAATAGAATTTGTGTTTGTTTTTTTTTTTTGGTACCGGGGATCGAACTTGGGTCCTTGTGCTTGTGCAGCAGGCGGCTAAACCACTGAGCTAAATCCCTGGCCCTCAATGGAGTTTTTAATTTCCTGAATATCTGTTTTAATCTGTTTCATGGATTCCATTTCTTTATGTTGGGCGATCATGGTTTCCATTTCTTTCTTATGCTGTGCATTCATGGCTTCAAGCATGTTTCTGAGCTCATCTTTTTTTTTAATGTTTCTGTTCCAGAGCCTCTAATCATGTCTTTCACTTTGCTCACCATCTCTGTAGTTATCTGGGAAATTATTTCTGTTTTGAATTTTTCTAGAGCCCATTCATCCGTTTTGTCACTTCCTGTGCTTTCAGTTGAGGGTGTCCGGGTGGTTATCAGACTTTTCCACCTTGTTTCCCCCAGAATTTGCCCTTTGTGGGGTAGAAGTCTTTTGTGCCTTACTTAAATGTCTTCTCATTTTTGTTTTTGGTACTGTCCTTGGTTTAGTTCCTGTGTTGATACTTTGAAGTTGTTTATTGTAAGTATCTTCGTTGATGTATTTAGAACACTTATGGAATGGTTGCTTCTCAGAGGTGTCTTCCAGATATAGCTGGTCTGTAGGTTTTGAGTCTCTAATCGCTCTGAGGCTGTCTCATTTTCATTATACCAGGAAGGACAACTGATTATATCAATCATAGTGCCTTAGCTCAAGAGATACAATCAGCAACACAATAGTATCAAATACATCTTAGAAAATGACATTTTGTGGTAGTTATTATGCTATCACCTTTAACTGAGTGAATTAAATCAAAATCAAGGACCAACCCAACGTGTTTATAGTGAATAAACTCTTCAAATACGGCAATTTTACCCTTTGGGATGGGGGTTAGAAGGCATTGGGGAGGGAGGAATAGGTAAGTAGAAGGATAGGGGAAGGTTATTAGTGAGGCCATAGGGCACAGGCAAGAGAAGGAAAGAAAAGAAAAGAAAGATAAAGAAGAAATACGAATTAGAGGCAGAACAGGAACACAAAGGGAGATGAAGAACAATGTGGGACAGCAAGGGAGTGAGGCAGAGAGAGAGAGAAAGAAAAAATAGAAAAATAATTTTAAAAGAGTAGCCAATAAGAAAAAAAATTAAAAGTAAGCAAAAAAATTGCGGTAATTTTGAAGATAAGAAATAAAAGATAAAAATGAAGGGCCTCCTTCAGGGTATGTTTCTGCTGTCACAATAGACAATGTGGGCAGCAGTGTGCAGTTATAAGTCAATGAGTCTCAGTAAGCTAGTCACAGATCTGTGAGATTCAGGCAGATTTCTGGCTGCAAGTCCCAAGGTGAGCTCCCTGACCTCCTGCAGGGTTGAACTCTGCCAGGTTCTACTGCAGGTTCCAGCTGCCTTTTCTCTGAAGGTAGTTCAGGTTCCGATGGGAGGTGATGATCCCTCCAACTTGCCAAGTATGGTGGTCTGGTGTGTCTTTATTGCAGAGATTCTCTTCACTTTTCCAGTGGGCTTCAGTTTTCATCAGGGAGCCTGAGAGAGGCCCTCTCTCTGTTGTTCACTTCTGCAGCTCAGGCAATGGCCTTTATGCCCCTCTATGCCTCTGTAGTGTGGATCCAAGTAGCTGTACAGCCAAGAGCCAGGGTGGGGGAAGGCTGTTTTTTGCAGGAGCCAGGGCAGCTCAGCTGGAGGCTGGTGGGCGTGCCCGGGGGAGGGGTCCTCACCGGTTCACTCTCCTGCTCACGAATTGGCAGAGCAAGCCAGACTGAGCAGGGCACACTCAGCCCAGGCCTGCTCTGCCCTCGAGCAGGGCTAAGCCAGAGCCTGCCCCTTACTCTTAAGCTAACCAAAAATAAGACACCCTTTCGCCTACTAGCTGCCCACCCCAAAGATAAGGTCTTAAAAGGTAGGTCAAGGACAAGTAAAGAAGCTGTGCACAGTCTTCTGTGCACAGAAGAAATGACCTTAGAGGTGCCTGGAAGCCAATCCAGTTATGGCAAGTTCCGGGTGGAGGAGAAAGAGTCACTCAGCATCCCTATAAAAACAGCTGAAAGGGCCAGGGATTTAGCTCAGTGGTTCTGCTGCTGCCTCACAAGTGCAAGGATCCAAGTTCATCCCTGGTACCAAAACAAACAAACAAACAAACAATAAAAATAGCTGAAAACAAAGGGCCCAGAGGTCCTCCATCTTTCCAGAGCTCCCTACCCTGATTCTCTCTTATCAAGGTAGCTATCTATCTTCTCTTTTCCCCGTCCTTTTCCTCTTTACAAATAAAGTGTCTTCTTTTTGTTAAACTTTGTCCCTCTAATTTATTATTGGGTATGAGGTATGATCCTAGTGGGCTGCTCAGACAACAGAACAGCGGTGCTCTTTCCCTAGATGCAATAATGAACACTGGACAGATAATAGAAACCTCTGAGTCAATATAATTATTGGATATGACATTTATAATTTAAATTACCTTATCCTTATTGAGATTGTGCCTTCATAGTTTGCACCTTTTTGAGGATAAAGTTCTTAGCCAATATACAAAGTCTTCTGAGACCTTAGCTCCAAACTACCTCTAAACACTCTTATTGAAGCTCTAAAATGCAGCAATATTTTAACTGCTGGTAGTTCCTAAACTTGAAATCCCACTCTTCTTTTTATATACTGTCACCCAAATCCCTAAGCCCACAAATTCTTAACCTTTACAACACACTTAAAGCAGCATTTCCTGAGGAAATACTTCCCTAAGCTGATAGATAGGATATGGTTCTGTAGCACCCTGAGCATGTCCCCATCACAAGACTCAGCACTATGTTATATTTGTCCGTTTACAGGTTATCTTTCCCATTTAGCTGAGTTTGTTGAGGACAAATTAAATAATGTTTACATATTAAATCTCTGGGAATTTTGTACCAGGCAAGTTGTGGTACTAAATAAATGTTACTTCAATTAAATTGATTAAAAAAATTTTTTTTTGAGACAGGGTCTCACTGTGTAGTTCAGGGTGGCCTTGAACTCATTATGTAGCCCATGCTGGCCTCCCAACTTGCAGCGATCCTCCTCCTCCTGCCTCCCAAGTGCTGGGACTGGCACATGCCTGGTTAAATTGATTTCAAAGTTCGAAATTGTGAGGGCTGTGAGGACCTCCATTAACTTATACTGGGAGAAGCGTCACAGACTGAGTCAGTCAAGGGATGGCAATGACGTCATAGAACTGAGGGCAAAGTTAAGTCATTAACAATAGCACGGGTAGACAAAACTGAAAAGCAGAGCAACAAGGGGTAGCAGGTTTACAGTATCTGGCCCTAAGGTGTGGGTGGCGCAGCTATTTAGTGTTAGGCCTCACTTTTGAGTTGTCTTCCCGTAGGAACCATTAGGGAGATGAAGAAAGGTGCTTACTTAGTAAATTAGAATCCAGAAACAATCATCCCTTACTGCCACAGGCCAAGGGGCTTGCTCCTTCACAGCATCAACTGCCCCAGCGCTCGGCCTTCATTTCATTTCATTTTCTTTCTGCAAAGTCAGCCTGACAGCCCGCCTGCCCTCCAAAAAGCCACCACTCTAAGAATTCGTGCTTCTCTGGATATCATGTGACAGAGAGGCGACCAGTCTTCCTAGTGAGAGAGCAACTGCGCATTCAAAAACAGAGGGGCTTATCTCAGAGTACTTCTCATTTTAGGATGGGCAGGGTGTGTTCCTTCCCCAAATTCCTTCCAAAGGAAGGACTCCACCCTTCAGCGAAGGCCTGACCGGAAGGGGTGGGCTCCGTGTCTGGACGCCGCGCTTCCTCCACCATGGCGTCTCGTGGGGTCGTTGGCGTCTGCTTGCTCTCTGCTCTCCCTCTCTTGTGTCTGGAACTCCAGCGTGGGATCCCAGAGATAGGTAACTGTTCGATTTTGTCCCCTGGTTCTCACAGCTGGGAAATTTTCACATGGCATAGAATTAGCTCCTTCCCGGCCGCGGCCCCGCGGAGAGGCTTTGACTACAGTCCCCAGACTGCATCGCGCCGCCTCCCTTTTCCGGATCGACTCAGTTTTGCGGAAAGAGTTTCCTCCATGTGTGGCAACGTGTTTTCGTGGAAGGGGACAGAGGCGAGGAGTACAGGGATAGTCGTAGACTGTACCGTATTTTCAAATCACAATGCGTGCTCAAAAGGAAATAAAGAAGTTGAGAGAAGGAAGGCCTGAGGAACTTGGGGAGTATGCCAGCAAAAGGATTGTTTCACGTGGGCGAAAAAAGGACGAAGACTATTGTGGCTGAATCAAGGAGTGGGAGAAAGAGGGTCAGGATAGCATTCGCTGAAGCACTTTTTTTTTTTTTTTTTTTTTGGTACCAGGGATCGAACTCGGGATCTTGCGCTTGTGAGGCAGGCGCTGGAACCACTGAGCTAAATCCCCGGCCCGTTGAAGCACTTTTTAAGTCAAACATTAAGTGCTGTTCATTATTTCATTTAATTTACTCAATAACTACAAGGGATAGGTAAATGTTTTCCACCCGACAGTGAGGATTGAGCCTAGGACTTTCATACTGACCTATATCCTGAACCCTTTTAAATTTTGAGACGGACTCGCTGAGTTTCAAACTTGCCCAGGCTGGGTTCGAATTTGTGATTCTCCTACCTCAGCCTTCCAGAGTGCTGGGATAACAGTACCAGGTCCACCAGGGATAGGTACTACAATAATCACCATTCTCCGGGAACTGAGGCTCTAGGGAGGACAAGTGATTTCCTCGAGGTTTTAGAAAGGCCATTCTGGATTCTGTGTGGAGAATGTTTTGGAAGGAAGCTATAGAGGAAGGCAATGAGGCAAGCTAGGATTTTGAAGTAGGTAAGTAGCGCAATGGCCCGGATTAGGATGATAACAGTAGATGAAATGCAGACAGATCAGGCATTGTTGTTGGCTTGATGTTTTGGGTGAGGGTCGAGAGGGGATAGAACAACCATAAATTGCTGGTAGAGCCATTGGTAACTAGAAACTAAAAGGAGAACTGTTGTGGAGAATCAGGAATTGGTTTTTGGAATAGTGAGTTTATATGTCTGTCTTCCTCAAGTTCAGTTCTAACAAAAATCATGATAAAGGTACACACCTGTTATCCCCGCACTCAAGGCCAAGGCAGGAGGATCACAACTCGAGCACAGCTGGGCAATTTAATGATTTAGCGAGACCCTCAAAATACTATTAAGAAAAAAAAAAGAAACTTAGTTCTGTATATCTTTTTTCTCTCCATCCTCCCCACCTCTAAGAAGTCAGGTGCACAGATTGTTGCTTGAAATAAGAAATGTAAATAAGATACTTTAAAAAAACCTTACAACTCTCCTGACTCAAGCTATGTTGAACTGTAACAGGACCTTTGGCGAAATGATACATGAAAAAGTTCAGTTCATACTTACCTATTGCAAAATTCACCTGCTGCCTTGCCTTTATAGCACCCACCCTTATCTACTTATTCAGAACCTTCTATTTTGCTCAAGTATTGCAGTCAGTAGACACTGAGAGGGTCATCATTTAAGAGCTGTAGAACGAGTTCTGCTCCCCAGTCATTTCCAGCCTCAGGGAAATAATATACTTCTTGAGGGTAGAGACCACTTCTAATTTGTTTTTGTATTCCCAGAACTTAATCACCATGCCCTATTTGTTTATCGAGGCATGGTCTTGTTATGTAGTTCAGGCTAGCCTTGAACTATTCATCCTCCTGTCTCAGCCTGCCGTGTGTTGGAATTACAGAAGTGTGCCATCATGGCTCTCTGCAAAGTAATTTAATAAAACTAGGCCAAAGTTCTAGAAAATTTGAATAGGTTCCTGGCAGCATCTCCTACTTCTTAAAATTTTTACTTAACATTTTTCTCTAGAATTCTTTGCTGTGAACTAGTGGTTGTTTCTTTTAGCTTCTTGATAGTACTCTTCCATGTAGGTATCTGTTAACCCTAGGTCTCTTTTACAAATCATACTTCCTTGTGTAACAGCTGGAGGGCTAGTTATGAATGGAACAATAATTATAGATACTAATCTTTTTTTTTTTTTGGTACCAGAGATCGAACTCGTGACCTTGCTCTTGTGAGGCAGGTACGGGAACCACTGAGCTAAATCCCCGGCCCCAACACTAATATTCTTAGCAGGGGCTGCCATTTGGAGTCTGAGCCATGATGCAGGGTTGGAAATGGGTCTCCCGCTGTTCAGTCGCTTTGCAACTTTTAGGCATAAATTATTGAAAAATGATCCATATTTTTTTGCTATCATGTAAAAGCCTTCATTGCCAATACATTTTTGTTTTTTCCCTATGCTAGGGATTAAACCAAGAGCCTTGGTTATACTAGGCCTATGCTGTACCACTGAGCCATAGCTCCAGGCCCCTCCAATTCATTTTATGTGTACTAAAGTTAAATATTTAAGGCTGGTTCCTCACATTTGTTTCCTTTAAAGTGCACTTGTTATAGGCTGTAGAGCCTAGCTACCCTCTGAAGAATGCCCTAAAACTTTAATTTAAATACGTTTTTACTTGAAAGATGCACACACAAATCTAGTTCTTTTATATTCCCATGTGATACTTACAGATTGCTTGTTAGTACAAAAAGCAATATTATGGAATGTATATCCCATAACTCAGCGGTTTCTCTATGTGTCAATACTCTAGGGGTTGTAATGGCCAGAGATACCCTAGATTCAATTATATATTGTATTGAATAACATCCGAATCAATAGTTAATGTCGTCAAAAGTTGGAGGAGCCGTGATAAAAAGATATTTCTTCTTTAAACTTTACTATTTTTTTTTAAAGGCTAACATACATGTTTTCAGTTTAAAATAAAGCATTTCAGGTGTGGGTGCATGCCTGTAATCCCAGCACTCGGTGTGGGGCTGAGGCAGGAGGATTGCCAAGAGTCCAAGTCCAGCCTGGGCTACATAGTGAGAACCTGCCTCAAAACCAACCAAAACCCAAAAAAAAACCAAACAAACAAAAAAAACATTTAAGGTTTTATAATTTCTTCTTTTATATTTAATTGATTAGCTACCATCTCTTATCACATTGTTAATATTTTTTTCTATATGTCTGCCAAGGAACTTTAGAAAATTAAAAGACAAAACAAGACTAAAAACTCTTAGAGGTAGAAACCATTTTACCTAACATTGTCTTCCCTTAGCATTTAGCAAATTGTGTAACACAAAGCAGATACTCTACATATTTTAAATTATATAAAAATTTCTCTCCTTTCTGGGTAGAACTTAAGCATTATTAACATTTTATTTGCCTGTTTGTCTTTTGATAGATGCTGGGGATTGAAGCTAGGGCCTTCACATTAAGCTACCTCCCAGTCCTTTCTTTTTTTATTTTGAGACAGGATCTTGTTAAGTCTAAGTTGCCCAGGCAGGACTCAAACTTGCCTTCTTCCTTCCCCCAGCTTCCCAGAGCACTGGGATCACAGGTGTTCCCCACCATGGCTGGCTAACCCTATTATTTATAAAGTAGTGGAACATTGTAATTATACCTGGAGTCCTAAAATAGAAGATGTTTATTCTAGAATTATTTTCTGGAAATCTGTTCTGGTAATGATAACCATGATGAATTTTAGTGTCTAAGGGAGAATGTATAAAAAAAATTGTAAGACAGTTACATAACTCTTAGTATATATTTTTAGTACAAATAATCTGTTACTGTTCATTAGTATCAAAAAAAGTTTTTAATTTTATTCTTTTTCCTTTATAAGGAATTAAAGATTTCATTTTGCTGTGTGGCCGGATTTTCTTGCTGCTTGCTCTTCTTACTTTAATTATTTCCATGACTACCTCATTGCTTAACTCATACAAATCTTCCCAAGTTTATCAAAAAGGTGAGTTTATTATTATTGCTTCCTTTTAAACTTTCTACTCAAATTTCTTTTATTTATTATACAAGTTTGCATGGTAATAACCATTGACTTGTGATACATAATTTCAAGGGGTATGGTCATTTATAACCTTAGTGATGATTATTTTGAATGGACTGTAGATCTCAACATTTTTATCAGAAACTGTACATTCTCCATATATATACTTCCGAAACTATCATTTTTGAGTTGCTGCATTGTAAATTCCGTTTTACATTGTGTATTTGTGTCACTTAAACTGCTGTGTGATATCTATGTTTTGTAAACTTTTTTCAAAGAGTAATTATATCTACCATTAATCTTTAAAGACTTTTCATCCTCATTTTAAGTTTTATTCTACCTGTATTAATTTAGACACCTGTATCTTTTTTTTTTTGGTACTGGGGATCAGACTCGGGACCTTGCGCTTGCGAGGCAGGTGGCAGCACCACTGAGCTAAATCCCCGGCCCCATAGGCACCTATATTTTGTGTATAATTAAGTGTATAATTAATTTTAGGAAATCATGCTTGTTTTTATTTTTGTTTCTGTTTTGATAAGAGTCTGAGTTCTAGAAGTCTTTTAAAAGAATACCGTATGTGGACTCAGAATAGTTGAGTTTTACAGCTAAAAGCTACATTCTTATATGTAGGAAAAAGTTTACCAAGAATGAATTTGGTAGGTTATATTTGGTTTTATTGTTTATTTATTTAAATGTAAATAAATAAAACTTGAAAATACTTAAATGTTAAAAAAAATGAAGTGCTTAATTTATAGCCCCTTCATAATATCTATGAAAATAGAATAATCCTGGGCTGGGGATTTAGCTCAGTGGTTCCGGTGCGCCTGCCTTGTAAGCGTAAGGTCCCGAGTTCGATCTCCGATACCAAAAAAAAAAAAAAAAGAATAATCCTAAAAAACTATGCAATACAACTCAATAATAATGACAATATAGGTGTTTCAGGATCTCTTAATCATGGATACTGTGTTTTTGTTTTCTGTTTTCCTTTTGTTAAGTTATTTGATCTTTTATACTTCATGTAAACAGTTGGAAATTAAGAGTGTTGTAATTTCCCTTAGGAATTTTATGTTAAATATATTTTCGAGGCTGGGGATGTAGAAGCATGATTAGTATATGCAAAGCCCTGAGTTAAATCCTCAGCACTCATTAATGAAAAAAAATAAAATATTTTGATACTTGGTGCCTACATTAAATTAGTAGGTCAGGCAGTCTGTTTTCTGTTTTATAAATAAGGAAAATCTGCCCTTGCTATAGTTTCTGTACATTAGATACCTTTGTACCTTTTTACTGCTGGAGTACAAGTTATTTGGTGCATTTATGGATTCATAGTTGAGAGACATAATGCTCAAGTGAAGGCTAATGCTATCTAACATGTAATACCATTAAGACCATATTTAGTACCTGATTACTGGCAGATTTTCTTCTGATGAGTAAAAAATCAGCTTGGTGGTATACTTGCTGTCTCTCTTATTCTCATCAGATATTGAATGTAAAGGTGTGCAGATTTGGTGTATCAGAGGTTCAGAAACAGTTTTCAGTGGCTTAATGATTATCCTCTAGGGGTGGGTGTGAGGTTCAGTGGTAGAATGCTTGCCTTGCTTGTGCAAAGCCCTGGGTTTGATTTGTAGTGCTCACGTGTGCATGTAAACACACATGAAGAAAAAAAGTAAAGGAAAAAGATAATGTTTTGCTATTGATTTATTTTAAATGTACATCTTTGATTTAGTTTGGAAAGGGTCTTAACCTCAGTGAGTCTGATCAAACAGCGAGTTAGTGGTCAAACTGGGCCTTTTGGTTTCCTAATGCACTCTCTTGTCCTAACCTTTGTTTTATTAACCTAAGAAAATAACTGCTGCCATAGGGGTAAAGCTGTTGGCAGAAAGAAATGCTCCTTTTTAAGGAGCTAGGCAGTTTGAGAGATGTGTTTTCCTAAAAGGTAGATCATTCTTCAAGGGTGTAGTTTCTGATTCAATGTTAGTATTTGTAAACCATTTCAAATATTTTTATTGCTCTGTTAGAAAATTTTTCTTTAACTGTTTTAAGAATCAAGCTACATATTTTCCTTCCTGGTAACATTCAGTGCGTAGTAAACTAATATTGGTTCAGTCATTTTCAGAGTTTAAAGGACACCTATCTTTGGGGACTATGTTGCTTTTACTGTCATATCCAGTGGCAACAGAATGGCACTCATTATGCCTGCAGCTTTTGTACTCCATACTTCATGTACAGTAATGGGCTTCCATGCTGTGTCATAACCTGCTGAAGCCCTACTGAGGCAAGAAAAATAGGGTTGTGATGGCTGGTGGCCAAATGAAGAGGCAAACAACCATTGCATCAACCTTACCTCACCGCATCCCGTTTACCTATGATAAAAACAGGAGAGCTCTTTGCTGGTATGAGTCAATTTTGCCCCAAAGACCTACCAGAAGTAACCAAGATGCATTTACACACAAAAGAGATATTCTGAGGGGGGACCACATGTTGCTAGGCTTTATGCTCAGGCATATACATTAGAGTATTGCTACATTCATTTATACATGTGCTAATGCTTTCATAGAAAACATGTCTAATCTCACTGTACTCCAACAATAGGGCTTCTCTGTCTGTGTAGTAGCCTGCATTGCTATTCTTTCCTGGGCTTTTCTAAGGGGCAGCCTTCCACTATATATCTGTGACTCTCATTAACTTTTTCTTTACTATTTCCTGTTAGCTGTGTCTGATTTCCGTCTTTCCTGAGTCAAAGAACTCACAAATCCAGTGACATCATCAGAATGTTCTGGAAGCCTCCTTAGCAATACTGTTACATATAATAACACTTGGCAGAGAATTCAAAACAGAGCCTGTTATAATCTTTGGTGTAGATTTCATGATCAGATTTCTTTGTTTCAGCTGTTTGCATGCACTTCATTTTCATTACTTGAAAAAACAGAATCTTTTTAGAAGGCTATTTGTCTCTTCCAAAATATTAAAATCTACAGACTGTCTTCAGAGAATACACCTTGCTTATAGATATGTGGGAATTAACATTTTTATGTTGTGATGTCTTAGAAGATGAGGAAGAAAAGAATGAGAGAAGACAAAAACTTGTGAGAAATAAACAACAAGAAGCACAGAGTGAAAAGGTAAAACATGATTGCTCATCCTGGGCAGATATGTGCCTAATGATACATTAAGTTAAAGATACGTATATACAATATATATTTTACATCTATATCTATATAGATATAGATATATAGATACATTGTGTGTGTGTGTGTGTGTGCGCGTGCGCGTGCATGTGGGAGAGAAAGAGAGACAGAGGGAGAGACAGGGTCTCACAATGTAGTTTAGGCTGGTCTTGAACTCACTATGTAGCCTAGGCTGGCCTTGAACTCATGGTGATTCTCCTTCCTCAGCCTCCTGAGAGATGGGCTTGTCATCAGGTCCCATGCTGTGATGTCACTTGATGTGGGGCTTTTTTGTGTGTGTGTGCTAGAAATGAAGCCCCTAAATATGTAGACATGTCCTTTAGTTCTGTGAAGTTTTCTTGTATTATTTCTTGAATTTTTTTTTTTTTTTTGGTACTGGGAATTGAACTCAGGTCCTTGCGCTTGCACAGCAGGTGACGAAACCACTGAGCTAAATCCCCGGTCCTTGTTTTGTTTTTTGAGACAAGGTCTCACTGTGTAGCTCAGGCTGGATTGGAACTCATGGAGATCCTCCTGCCTCAGCCTCCCAAGTGCTGGGATTACAGGTGTGTGCCATCACACCTCGAATATCTTTTTCTTTCTGAACTCTCTTCCTTTAGGTGAATTTGAGATTGAGAGATGGAGCCCCTGATTGTTTCCTCTGCTTGTCCATTGTCCATTTCAGTGGTTCTGGGGAATTTAAGTTGATTATTTCAGCTATTATAATGTTAATTTCCAGGACTACTTAACTTCTGATTTTCCCTTTTTTCTTCTTTTTTTTTTTTTTTGGTACCGGGGATCGAACTCTGGTCCTTGCACTTGCGCAGCAGGCGGCGAAACCACTGAGCTAAAT